TCTCTTTATCGGCGACGATCGTGACATTCAAGAACGCGGGCGTATCCCCACGCTTGTGGAAGAGAACCGACGGTCTGCGGTCTGTATGCGTGTATGCGCGCGCGCGCGCGCGCATGTGTGTGTGTGTGTGTGTGTGTGTGTGTGTGTGTGTGTTACGTGTCTCAACGCGGCCTTCCGCATCTTCTTCCCAGGCTGCCATCGACGATCGAACCGACCATCTCGCGACGACGTCGAGAGAGGAGTTCGGGACACCTGTCTCCGACGGTTATCCCACGTTAAGTACATAACCAGTTTCGCAACGCGAGTTCGAAAGCCCGGCTATACTCGGCTATCGATTCACCATACACGAACGCACGCATCATACACGAATAAGAATTGAATGCACAAGACCAATCGTTCGCACGCGTGCACGCATAAGATTGCACGCACGCACAGACAAACGCACGCAGAAGTGGACAGTCGAATTAGGCGAATGACTACGAACGAGGAAAATGAAATCGCGATAACGATACAGGGTGTCCCAGGATTATGCTTAGCTATTGGGAATTCTAGATCGATATAAAAAAATGATCTTTGGGTATATTTTTATTTATAATTCAAAACACTCTTTTATTTTATAATTTATCTGTGTGTCAAGGTCCTTAATGCTGAAAAATACATAAAAATCTGTGTTGCATCGAATAAAAATATCTCGAATAAAAGTTGCTTAAAAGTATAATGTTTCGGAAAGTGAAACTTGAGCTGCTAACTTTTAATAATACTTAATAATATGAAACATTTTTTATTCTTTTTAGAAATAAGATAACTGAAACTAAAATATATAAATAGTATACAACAAAGTTATATTTTGTATTAAATAAATAACTGATGATTAATGACTAATAAGAAAAACATGATATATTTTTATAAGCACTTTTTTCTTTAAAAAATGTTAAGTTTACAAAATATCTAGGAATTTCCGCAAATTATCGCGCTTTCTCCCAGCTGCGAGCTGCGAACTCCTTAATCAATTTGGCGTCGATTTCTCTTTAGCGAAAGTTTAATTGGACGTCATCTTTTTCGCGCCTTCTTTATTTTCAGCATCAAGCAGCAATTAAATGGCACTTCGTCGTTTAAACTTCCGTTAAACTGAAGCTCACGAGAAATTGTACGAGGAAGATGACTGTCGTTTATTTGCAAATTTAAAACTTGATTCGTAAAAATTTTGAAAGAATTATTTATAAATTCAAGAAATAAGAAATATATTTTGATACTTTAAGAGGCAAAACCTTAAACTATATCAGCAATTTTGAAAATATCAACTGAATTTCTGAAAAATTTATAAACTTTTCATATTTTTAGGTTTATTAGATAGCAAACTTTATATATCCGCTTTTATTCATGACAGGAATTTACAAGAATACGACTACATTCGTGTGAGCGAAAAAAGAAGAAAAATTGAGTGGTAGAATATTGACTGGAAGAGAAAAAAAGAGAATAGAGCAAAAATGAAGAAGAGCGTAAAAAGATGCAAGCTATCCCAGGAAAGTCGTAATATTTTCTAGATCATAAAATTTAAAAAATAGCATTTATTTCGATGTTAAAGCGTTCAATTCTGAATTATAAGTAAAGAAAATTTTTTATTACAAATAACAACAATTTTTTATTACAATCTTATTCTTGCTCCAATGTCGAATTAATTTTAGAAAAAACTTTTATTAGCATATTATACAAAATATTTTTAATGTGTCACATTGCGCATTTGTTATTTCATCAATTATAAAAATATTTAATGTTGAAAAAATCAATCGGTGATAGATCGCTTTTCACTGTTTATGTACTTTGGATTATTCGGGAAAATTCATCACAGTGACGGGACGCGATTTCCCGGACACCCTCTACACGTCGTCGTATATTAGGTTCCGACCGCTGCGGCTGGACGAATACAAACGCGAATACGAATGGCAAATGGCGGGTGACAAGGCATCGGCATCTGCGCTTAATTAATGCAACACCGGCCGCAACGATACGGCGAGGAGGAGCCCATGAGAATGCTGCGGGACGATCGCTATGCCCGGACCCGAGAGAGCGGATCGTGCCTCACGGAACGGCGGAACGACGACGAGGACGACGATGGTGCCCAAACCAGTCCAGGGTGTTCAATTATGCGCGCCATCGATCCGCACTCCGTCTCCGGAATCGATTCGCCCGATGAAAAAGAAAACACGTCCGGGAAACCGATTCCCTCTTTCCGCGTAAGCATCGATCGTCCCGATAGCGAGGCATCGGTGATCGGTC